TACCACTGGACGAACATTACTCTATATAAATAATCCTTGATTCATAATATTATCTGCTTAGTTTTATTTAAGTCTCACCTTGTTGCTGTAGACATTAAATAATAATAAATAAAGCCAATGTAACAAACTATGTAATTTGCAAAACTAAATTGGCATTTATCCAAAGAAATACAAATAAGATTTTTATTACGGATATACTAATACCTAATACAAACGAATAAATAATAATAATAAAGGACATACCAAAACAAATATCAGGAAAATATTCGTAATTTAACTTTAAAAAGACGTATACCGGCGCCTGCGCATGTTTAAGTACTAATTTGCAAATTCGGATTTTGCATAGATTATGTACACAGCTGTCATTTATGTCAAGTTTCGTCACTGTCAACTGTCACACGTGACAAGTTTGACATTTATTTATGATTAATATGTCTATGATTATTATTACTAATTTCAATATTTAACGTGGCATTTAAATTTGAAGCCATATAATTAATAATTAAATTGAATGTAATCTAGAGTTAAAAAAATTACAATTTTGAAGATAAATTTGTAAGTTAAGGATGGATCCTTTTGAATGTTATTTTTTTAATTAATAATCGTTTCTTTGACTGAAATTTGGGTTAGAAATATACTTTTCACACAGAATGTTAATAAAACTATTAGTATAAATATAGCCAGATAGCAAAGAAATTTTTGAGCGAGTTCATTAGCTTTGGAGGTGGCCCACTTCTGTGGGCGGTGTACCATGCGGGTTGCTCCTTGTACTTCTGTAATAGCAGGACCTTGGAGCAACCCCATGGTTATTGTGGTCTGCTTCGGCAGACCTGCCATCAGGGTGTCGTAGTTCAGTGCGTAAGCGATCCTGCCACGCCCCATTATGACGGGGGAGGGTTTGTTGGTATTTAGTGGGTAGTACTGGCCGAATACTGGTCTGTACTTCGCCGGTGAGTCCCACATAACCACCTACAGATTTCACATGTCTACAGGTAAATTCATTTCCCAACATTGAAAAGAAAAGAAGTTTATTGTATAACTTTCTTTGAAGAATTTTAGTTTAGGTTCCGTAGTCAGAAAAATAGAAGTAGTCGTGAAAATATTTTATTTTTATTTTGAAAGGCATTTTTATAAATAAAACGAACATTGTTTTCCAAACATTTATTTATACATCAATTATTAAAATATACCTACTATGACTTGTATTTTATTTTCCGTCTTTGTATGTATGCAATTGTATACTGCAAAAAACGTGCATTACAATGCCATGAAAACCGTTTAACTTTTTCAAACAATATTTAGTGTTACATTGAATAAGTATAAAACTTTTTTACAAGCTTCTATTATGTCAATAAAGTAAGTAGGTATTATTTCTTAGTATAAATGTTTCTAAAATCTTAATAAAACGCCTTTAGTGAGCTAATAAGTATAAAAAAGTAGCTATGCCTACACCAACCATAAAAAAATAATTTTACGTATAGGCATATCAAATTTAGTCAGAAAAAGCTATGGTTTTATGAAAAATAGATCTGAAAATCATAATAAGCAAACCTTTGCCAGCGACTTTCAGTATAAACTTTTTTTAATAAAGAGATAAAATCCAAAAAGGTTTTATTTCATTTCACCCAGGTCTTAAAAAGAAAAAAAGGTAGCATTTTTAGCTTTATATAATAGTATAGACGCACATATATTATATACATGGATTCTTATCCGAGATTGCGTTCTTCGTCTGATTTATCTGGCCAAAAATTATTTTCACTTTTGGCCTCTATTCAACATATGATTAAATACATGCCAAATAACAATTATTCGCATATATTACGCACTCATTTTAATCAAATAATTTCTGAGATATTTAACTTGAATTTTTTAGGGCCCATATGAATCAAAATTCGTGGCAGATGAATCAGAAACAGGAATAAAAACAAAAAAACCAAATCTGTATAATATAATATTACTCTTTTTTATTAATTATAACTATTTTTATTATTTATTAATTTTATAATATACCTTTAATAAATCACGAATAAATAATAAATCTTTAATTCGGAACACTTTTCCATACAATTTGAAAAGTAGGTAAATCAAACTAAAATTAAATTATAAAGTAAATAAAATAAATACAAAGTTTTCCTACATTAAGAACAATAAATAAAATTAAATATTTAAACTAAAACATAATACGAAAAATCTTTTAATCTATGTCTGGAGAAATTTTGCCCAAAATCTTCTACACTTTTCATGATAGAATTTGTGCTGTCGTTTATCCTCTATCCCAGACATGCGATCCTCTTTCTTATGACAGCAACAAAACCATCAGTGTGTGCCTCGTAAAACATCCACGACGCACAACAATATCTAGGCAGTCTAAACGTTTGAAAAGAACAGAAGAAACATTAAAAACGTGTACGTGGCAATAGGCCTTAAAGAGTGCAATTTCAATCTGGTCTGTACACGCAGCAAATTTACGGGCCAAAATGTTCCAACACATCGGCAATGCTCTACGTTCCCTCTCTATGTCGTTCTCATCTGTTAACATTTCATTTACTACATGTCCAAGGTATTTAAATTTTATAACACGATCAAGCTTAACATTATTTAGAACAACGTCAGGTACATAGCATGATCCATTTTTATATTTAAATACCATAGTAACTGATTTTTTCTATTGTAAACTAAACCATGACTTTTAATATATTTTTCACAAATAGAAAGGAGCCTCTGCAAACATTTAGTTGATGGACTGAGCAGCACCTTAACATCAGCATAGCTATGGCTATTTGCACTGCATCCGTCTATGTGACATCCTATACTATTATTATATCATTTTTCTTTCGCTGTGTCGCAGTCGCGGTGTCGTGATGCTCGGGACCTGATCTTAATGATGATTGTATGATAAATAACTTAACCAAAATGTACCACTTTGTGATTCATATGGGATTTTGACCACATGAATCAGACCCAGATAAATCAGAATTTTACCTAAAATCTTCGATTACCCGTAACATATATTTACATCGGTATTCGCAGTTAACCACAAAAATCTATAACTCAAACGTTGTTTTTGGGGCATAGATTCAAGTTTTAAAACTCTGTAACATAATTTGTAAACTTGACATATTAATCAGAAACCCACCTGAATGAAGTACATATGAATAAAATACTTACTCTTGTATCTCCTGATCGACGCTGACCTGGCCGAACGTCTACCTTCGGGCCCATCCGTCGCACAACAGACTACCCCCCATACGGGTAGTGATGGTCTCACTTTTTGTATTTCGCCGAGTACCATCGAGTGAAGCGCGCGCCATATTAATCAGAATTTTATGCCGGACATCTTTTATTTCTTTATTTACAATAAGTAAACTAACGTAGATATAACAATTTTTTTTTGTTACAAGATAACTAATCTTATTTCGATGTGATTATAATTTATATTGTTTTTTTAATAAGATAACGCGTTATCTATTATTTTGTTCAGAAAAATGGGAAACGGACACGTCATATGAATCAGAAGAACGAGTTTCAAACGATTTTTTTATATATATAGAACACTATTATTTTACAAACGGAATTGGTCCAAGTTAGATAATAGTCTAAGGTGCATTAAGAAAAATATTTCAGATCGTTTTATTAGCTAGTTACGGAGATAAACCTCCAGAAATCGAAAATTTAAGGCGCTGAGAAATACTTACATACAATAGCAGCTGAGCTTTTAAAGTCGAAACGAAAAACTAATTTCTGAATAAAGTTTCACTTTAAATTATAGGAATTATATTTATTCAAAAATGTCTAACATTCGCGTAAATCTAAGAAAGTATTATAGGAAAATATTTAACATTAAAATATTCGATACTTTATAATTTATAATATTATAGCCTTTTTCAAAGATATTTTTTCTAAATTCCTTCTTTTTTAGTGTTGAAAATATTACTGACATTTAATAGTATAAAGTTTTATTATAAGAAGTTTGCTTTATATTTAGGCAAAATAAATAGGTACCGTGGACCCTCCTACTTGTTCTTATCGCTAAGCAATTCCAATTTTAAAGAGAAAAGGGCCGATGCACACTAAGTTTAAAACGCGCGGACGACACATCTGCGCGTTTTCTAGCAGATAAAGTTAAAAGGGGCTTTAAACGCCACAATAAAATTGCCGATGATGCGTGCATTTTAAACATATATACGTCATATGTGTATTTTATACTGATAAATTTAAACTTAAGATTGTTGCATTCGTATCGATAAAAACGCATGATAAGTGCTTAGAACGCGCGTTAAAAGATGTCGTGTGCATAGGCCTTAATTCATATATAATAGCTAGACATTCATCGCATAGCATGCTTAATAATACATATAAAAAACGTACATTCATTTAAAAAATAATGAATTAATCAAATCTAACAATAGATAAAATATATATTTATATAAATAAAAATAATGCAATATTTAATGGAGCAACCTATTTCTTAAAAAAAATCAAGATAATTTATTTTAAACAGACGAAAATATTGGCGACAACACACACAAAAGAAAACTTATATCATTGAATATTTCTTTTATTAAGTCGGTCATAATATAGAAAGTTAATGTACTATCGATGAATATTATTATCAATATTATATGAACGTTTCGAATTTTGTTGCGGTTTTATTTATATTTTGGTTCCCGATATATCGAATGCTCGAGAGAAAGGATTCAAAATCTTCTATACAAATAATTATTTAATTAAATAAAAATGAGTTTCTAAGCCATTGATCTGATTGTGATAAAACTCTTGTGGATTATTATGTTTACGTCTGCGGCAAAGGTTTCTGGCGTAAAATTATTTTTTTTTGGACATTATCTGTTATGCTTTCCAAAATCATTCAAACTTATTGACGAATCCAAGCGAAGCGTGGTGAAGTTACTATAGTAAAAAATAAAATCGCGACAAAAATCCGAAAAAGCTTCATTTAAAATATCAAATATTTGCGTAAATCTAAGAAAGTGTTACATTTAAACAACTTGTATACATTTAATTATTTCTTGCGGATCGAAAAAATCTATTGTCCCTGTAGGATCATCATCAAACACAGCACTATATTTCTTCATATTTATAAATGCTCCCTTGCATTTGTCAAGCAACCCTTGAACAATCATTTTAGCTGTATTCTTATATTTTTGCTTTTCATCAGTCTTCTGAGCATCGTCAGCTTGTGGACTAGATTTATACCGCAAAGGAATTTGGTGTGACGAGCTAAAAAATCTGTTCAAATCCATTTTCTCTTCATTTCCGTCTAAATTTCGATCTTTTGACCAAATTGGGCAACTTTCCCTGAATTTATCGTGTATTACAGAATCCACATTTTTGTAATGGTTCAAAAGCAGTTCTTGGAGATATTTATATGCATTGGTCTTATGTTTTTTTCCAGTAGCAATCACTATCAGGTTGAGTAGCAAAAACACTTTGAGATTCATTTTTAGATACGTTTTGCGTTTACAGTGAAGGTCAATCGACTGAAAAAGCGTTAGTGGGTGCATTAATCGATAGTTCAGAGTGCATCGCAGCATCCCATCTCCTTCTGATAGTGTGGCCATTTATGTTTAACAAAATCTAAATATCGTTTGTGGTCGTAATTCGTAATTGTGTCTTTGGGTAATGAAATTTAATTTATTTTTCACATACCTATCTAATAAGAAAATATTTTTTATGAATATTTTCTCAATTAACATGTTTATATTATGTATACATATATTTGGTAGCAATATACGTTGAAATTGCTGGTTAAAACCTTTTATATGAAAAAAGCCTTTATCGTAACTTTATTTTACTTTTTTATACTACTATCGACTCACCGTCGCTTTGCTCGTTGTAACGATTGGTATGAAAATGATATTTTTAAATCTATACATATAATAAAATTGTAACTAAGCCGAATCTGTACATTAGATATTTTTTGGAAAATCTTATTGAAATAAACATTATTATCGATACAGAGGCCGAATCTATAGTTTTTAGAATTTTTTTCTGTCTGTCTGTTACCGCATCACGGGAAAACCACTGGAGGGATTTTGATGAAATTTGGTATGGTGATAGCTGGTTATTCGGGTCAACATATAGGATAATTTTTACCGCGGGAAAATATCTCATCTCTGAGAAAAAATATAAAAATTGTAATGTAAGAGTATACTACAAAACAACAAACAAACACACTTTCACATTTATAATATTATTTACTTTACGCAACTACAAAACAGGACATTAAACGTAAAATAATTTAAATTAATTATAGAGGATGACTCTTATTTCTAGAGCAGTTAAACGGAGTAGGCTGGAATGGATAGGATTTAACATGTACATTAATAAAAGTTATATTAAAAAGTGTTTAGTCGTGGCATTTGAGGATATGAAATTAATTTAAGAAACTTACATATGTATGTAAAAGTAGAAAAATATCGACATTATACTTAAACTATAGAACAATGATCGGGACAAGTAAATATTATGTAAATAAAACAAATTATAGTACATAATAATTTGTATATATTATAATATAATTATATGTATAAATAATTATCTAAAAATATATTTTTTACTTTAACATATTTTTGAAATTTAACAATTAAAAATTTCGTTACAAAAATAACGAGACGTGGTTTTTTTTTCTGTTTTTGTTTCTGTACTTATTTATTTACGCACGTAAGAATTTATACTTCTTAGACGTGGAACAAAAATGGCTACAGATTTCATCCCTTAAGTCACAATTCTCCGTTTGTTAAAGAAATGCAACTAACTCCATCATGTCGGTTTTTGGCTGTCGGTGTGCGCTCGCATCATAAAAAATTTTACTCCCATATTTTTTTCCAAACTTCCCAAAAGAAGTATAACTTCAATGAATAAAAAAAAATTAAGGGGCACTTTCACTGGTGGGAATATTTGTTTATCTTTCAGGAAAAACTATCTGCAGTGACCGTGATAGCTGTAAACTGTAAAGCCGAATGCTTACTTCAAACGTCAAATTCCAAAAATGGATCCGCAAAAAACGCGGGAAATACAGTTTTATTTCATATGTCATATAAAAAAATAAGGTATAAAAAGGAAATTGTAAATCAAGCTAATATACACATGTATATAAAATACATAACAGTAATAAAATGATAACATAGTATAAGTCTAGTCTAAATGACTAGAACAAAATATTAGAACTATATATTCAAAATAGTTTATTATATATTTTTTTATAATTAACTATTTTTAATATAATTAGTTTTATACTTAAACAAAACAACACTGGGTCACACATCATAATATAAAATATGCCATTATCATAAATCATTTAAAAAAGAAACAAAATCATCCCATAGACAAAAACCTTCATTGTCTGTGGTACAATTTTTTAATTCTAACAATGCAATTTTTGGAGGTTCATTCAAAGATAATACCAAACCATCTCTTAATTGTTCGTTTGATTGATAAATATAATTGATTTTCAAAAGATGCGTGTCTTTTGTTTTGTCAAACCATTTTTGAAATACAATTTTACCACCAATTGGTGTTGAAACAAAGCTATCAAATAAACTAAAAGGCTTAAAATACATTGCGTTTAATAGAGTATTAATGTTTGTATCATGTCCCATTATAAGTGTTACTTTTTTATGTTCTACCAAAAAAATTTTCTTTATATAATCTATTAATGGTCGAGACAAGTCTTGTGCAACATAACTTGTATTATATTTAACATTATGATACTCCTTATTCAACTCTAATATTGAATTCCATTGTTCTATTGTATTTAATTTACCCCAAGCTACATTTGTTAAGTCAAACCCGTTGTAGTATGCCATTAGGAAAGCATCAACTGCCTCATTACATATCTTTAGAGGACCAGAAAATTCAGGTTTTTTCTTAACAACTATTTTTAATTCATTGACATCTTGGCTCATATCACATTTGTTATAAACTTTACAAAACTCAGAATTCCTGTAATTCAGTATATCTTCCATGGAGTGATATGAAAAATTCAAATTCAAATGATCTAGAACATTTTTCATTTCACTTATAGCTATATTGCGAAATGCGATTGATGAATTATGTATGAAGTTACTAAGAATCGGTTCAGGCTTACTCTCATCTGCATGATATATAGTAATGTTGCAATTAGGAAAACCTTTATTTATGAATGCACTGGCTGAATACATGGTTCTTTGTGTATAACTTGAATATACATAAAAATCATTTTCATTGGGACAACCTTTTGGCAGCACTCCCTCTTTGTTTAACCAAGTGTAAAAATATTTACCCATGTATTCTTCTAAAAGGAAGCCTTTTTTTGTTAAAAACCCGGGCTGTTCTTCCCATTTCGGCCATTCATATGGAGTAATTTTTTCCAAGTTCTTTGATAAAAAAGGAGTTCTCGCATTGTGTCTACTCAAAATAATAACTTTGTCTAACCTTAATGAAGATACAGTATGATAAAATATTATATAAGAAAACACTGTTATTTGCATTATGACACAAATGAATATAAAACAAAAACTGATTGCCTCCTTTTTATTATACATATTGGCAATGAACAAAAAATGAAAGGCCAAAGGACACAAAATGATATAAAAGTAATAAATATTATTATAAGTATATTTAGGGGTCAAGGAGATCAGTCTGCGAAGCAGTTGTTAAGCTTAATTCTGATAAGTTACAAAACCTTCTTCTTCTTCTTCAACAATAAAAAACTATTTTAATTAATATAACTCTGTTACATACTATAATATTTTTACCAATTTAACTTAATTTTATAAAAAAATGAAAAAATATATTTACATTTTACAAACTGTCATTGTGACTAAGGATGACAAATAAAAATTGTGATTTCAAGATTTGTATTTTGTGACAGTTTAAGCATAAAAAAAATTACATAATTTAAATTCAGGGCTGCCAGATAAAAGTCGTTGATTTACCCGACCAATAAACCTCAAAATACCCGGTTTATCCCACTGGCACGCGCCATGAGCAGAATACCCGAAAATAGTTTTTGTTAAGTAATTTATTCATGTTTTATATATAAAAGAAAGTACTAATGTTCTTTCAGTCATGCAGGTTTCCTCACTTTGATTTTACAAGCAAGAGCGCCGTGGCCGAAATAGAGAGTGTGATAGGGAGTTTAAAAAATATATAACAATTATCAGTGCATCAATATTAATAAGAACTAATGCATTTTTTACTTTAAATATTATATCATCTTAAAGCATCTGTCTTCCGAAATAAAGACCATTATCTAATATGTTGTGATGTTCGATTGTCCTAATTTACAGGCAACATTTAGGTCAATATTTTTTTTTTATAAAAGTAAAACAAATACGAGTATAAGCATAAAATATTAAGTATAGCGAAAACAAATAATTATGGTATACACACTAAATAATTTGGAAGATATGTGTAAGGAATATTTTTGTGTGTATGTTAATAGCTACAGAGTATATTTTCCTACTTCAAACCGATTTTAATATGTCTTACAAAATTATTTTTTACGTTTAAGATCTCTTATTAAGACTATCGTATTATGATTTATGTATAATAAAAAAAGATTTACTCCTAACGTGGGGATAAATATTTTTAAGGTGTTTTCGGAGTCGGTGTGTCCTATTATAGAGGTAATAATATAGGTGATAATTTTATAAAAAAATAATTTACATACTATGTTTATAGTAATAATAATTCACATAATAAAAGTTTTATTGGTTCTTAAATTATATTTCGATTTTATTATAAATTTGTCGAATTATAATTAATTTGTATAATGTATAATACTGTTCTAAAGAGATCTCATAATGTTCATAAAATCATCCCATAGACAAAATTCATTTTTATCCTTTGGACATCCAACAATTTCCATTTCAACCCACCGCGGAGGATTTATCTCTGATAGCTTTATGCCTTCTCGTAACTGCTCTACCGTTTGGTAAACATAGTGAACTTTTAAAAACTTTATATCTTTGTGAGACCATTTTTGGAAAACCAGTTTTCCTCCCAAAGGCGTACTTTCATACTGATCCGGAAGAACATAACCTTTAAAACCAATAGCAGTCATCACTGAAATCAAATTTGCATCATGTCCATGTAAAAGTGCAAATTTTACTGATTCTTTCTCGAAAATATTTTTCAAATAGCCAAGTAATGGTTTTGCAACTTCCTTAGACAAGGTTGAGCCATTGAAACGTACATTCAGATTTTCTCTTGTGATTTTAGCTAATAATTTCCAATCTTCGTTATTTTTTATTTTACCCCACGCAATATCCTTCATAGGTAATCCTTCATAGTAATCCATGAAAAACGAATCGACTATAGCATTACTTTGCTGTAATGGACCAATAAGATTAGGTTCTTCCCCGATAGCATAGAAAATTTGATCTTTCACTTTAAAACTGCATATACCGTCATCTTTACACGCCAAGGAGTTTTTAAGGTCCAATATATTTTCCAATAATTCGTAAGAATCTTCAAGTTGTAATTGATCTAAGTGTACTTGCATCTCGTTCATTATAATCGATTTCAACACTTTTGATTCATTTCGAAAAATCGGATTGAAAATCGGATCCTTTATTTCTGAATTAATCGTATGGACTGTTACATTGCAATTGAATGCTCCCCTTACAAATGCTTTGGCCGACTCTCTTGTCCTTTGTCTAGTATTTGCATAAACAAAAGCTAACTCATTCGGACAATCTTTAGGTAGTAACTTTTCTTTCTGAAGCCATTTGGAAATATATTCACCCATATATTCCTCTAATTTAGCACCTTTTTTGGTCAAAAAGCCAACATCCTTTGACGATGGCCAGGGATGTGGCGAAAAGCGCTCCAAACTTTTTGTCAATGAAGTCCGTATGTTATGGCGGCTTAAAATAACAACTTGTTCAAGTTTATGGCTACTTACACACACTAAAACACTAAATAATAAATAATTAATGTACTGCATTTTCATTACTAATAATTCGCACAATCTTCAGCTATGTCTATTCATTACTGATTCAATTTCAGTAATATTTCTTCACCACTGATAAATATTGACCTCCTGTCACACCGTTCCATTTGCAAAACCGGGGCTACGGCCTCAACAAACTTGTTTATTATAAAACGTTTAAACGAAAACTTGTTCTGAGAATGACTATTGTATTGCAAGAGCAAAATATTTTCATACGTAAGTATAATAGAGGGCATAAAAAGCGAATTCAAGGAACGGAAAAAGCATATTAAATATAATAGGTAGTTTTATATAAAAATACCGGGCAAGTGCGAGTCGGACTCGTCCACTGAGGGTTCTGTGCAAATTTATAGGTAGATACATATTATAAAAACTATACATCATAAAAATAATTAAAAATGTGTGTTAATCTTGTGCCAATGAAGCCCTTTCATACGATACTCCACATGACACAGTTAACTCAATTTATAATTTGGACCGCCATTTCTTGCATAAATACCCTGTTTTTTATGATTTAATTACAAATGTATAGTTTCAGATTTTTCTTGTATTATAAGACGGTATTACTTGCCAAATTTGATAGTTCTAAGTCATCGGAAAATACCATGTGTAGAACTGAGTACATCGTTTTAATTTAAACTCGATACCTCCCTCCACGCGTTACCGAGACAAAGGGTCTTGACAGACGGACGGACGAACGGACAATAAAGTGATCCTATAAGGGTTCCGTTTTTTTGGGGTACGAAACCCTAAAAATGAATCACCGAAATGTATGTACGCGTATAACTTCCGATCGACTGCACCAGCACTGACTGCAACAGCTAAACGAATCTGGATGAAATTTGGCATAGAGATAGATTATAGTCTGGATTAGGGTACTTTTTATCCCGGAAAAACATACGGTTCCTGTGGGATATATTCATTTTGTATTTCTAGAGGCGAATCGCCTCTTTCTAGAGCCGAGCCGTTATTTAAAATCTACACATATAATAAAATTGTAACTAAGCCGAATTTGTACATTAACTATTTTTTGGAAAATCATATTGAAATAAACATTATTATCGATACAGAGGCCGAATCTATAGTTTTTACAATTTTTGTCTGTCTGTCTGTTACCGCATCACAGAAATACCACTGGAGGGATTTTGATGAAATATGGTATGGTGATAGTTGGTTATCCGGGTCAACATATAGGATACTTATTACGGTGGGAAAATGTCTCATTTCTGAGAAAAAATACAATAACTGCAACGTAAGAGTAACATAGCAGAAACTAATATGTAAAACCTAATAATTTGGTTTTTGGTAATCTCAACGCGAGCGGAGCCGCGGGCAATGCTAGTATAGCATATAGCTATATTCTTCACCTACTTCAAAAAAGGAGAGTTTCCCGATTTGTGTGATTGATTTTTTTAACTTTCTTTAAGTATAGGGACAGGGTATATTAATTTTCATTATTATTTTTTAATAAACCGCCTATAACAATTTTAGGGGTAAAATAATTACTTTTAAAGTAAATTGACGTCGGTGTAACGTTTTAGCTAAAAATTCCTAAGTCACAAATTGCGTAATCGACTCTAATCTATAAGGCAACTAAATAGTAATTAAAGATTGATTATTTATAACTAAGCAATATTGCACAGACTATCTATGAATGTTCTAAATTATCGGACCATCGATTAATCTATACATATAATAAAATTGTAACTAAGCCGAATCTGTACATTTAATATTTTTTGGAATATCTTATTTGAAAGTCATTATTATCGATATAGAGGCCGAATCTATAGTTTTTTAAATTTGTCTCTGTCTGTCTGTCTGGGAAAACCACCTCTACAGTTTTATGATATGTGTAGATTTAGCAAAGTTTTGCAGTTAAATATAGTTTATCAATGAGGCAAATATACTAATATTCGTAATTGCTATTTAAAAAATACAGGCGTCAGGATCAGTTTCAAATTAACAGAAGGATAGTTTGTAAATATATTAATTACTAGCAGAACCCGCGGCTTCGTTCGCGCTAAAACTATGGAAAAAACGCTAAAAAGGTAGATTTCATACAAACTTTCATCATCTATTTTTTTGGACATTAACACACAGCGCCATCTAGTTCCATGGTAAGCTACGAGGCTTGTGTTATGGATACTAGAAAGTTGATACACTACACATGTATATGTAACTTTAAATACATACATATTATAAATATAAACACCCATGACTGGAGTACAATTCGTACTCATCACACAAATGAATGCCCACAGCGGGACTCGAACCCGCGACCGCTGGCACATCAAGTAGGGTCACTACCATAGATATAATAATTATATCTATGGTCACTACCAATTGCGCCAAACGTGTCGTCAAAATCGTCTGTGCTCAACTGACACGCTTCAAGAAAAATGAATTGAATTGAATAATTATATTAATAGCGTTTATTATATAGATAACTAGCAACTCACCCTCGCTACGCTCAGCTTCATCCCTAGTTACGTTTTTAAGTTTAGTATAGATTTCTAAGAGATAAGATACGTTCCCGCTGTAAAAAGTGTCGTATATGTTGACGTAGATAACCAGCTATCATCAGACTAAATTTCACTAGAATCTGTCCAGTGGTTTTCCCGTGATGCGTTCCCAGACAGACAGACAAACAGTAAAAGAAATTAGTGCGTGTAAACTTTATGCGCTGTTGAAATACAACTTCTTTGGCACTGCAGTAGACAGAAACAAAAACAAACCTATCCTACAGGAACATTTTTCCGAGATAAAAAGTAGCCTATGTCCAGACTATAATCTATCTCTGTGTTAAATTTCATCCAAATCCGTTCAGCCGTTCTGGCGTGAAAGACTAACAAACATCCATACATCCATACTCACAAACTGTCATAGTTATATTTTATAATAATAATATAGATTGTAAGCACAAAAGCTCATTTAAGGTAGCACTCGAGTGAAGCGAGTATTTAAATTAAATACAAATTACACTGAGCGGGATTTGAACTCACTATTGTTAACAAAACTTCTTCTACTACAACGTCGAGTGAAAGTGTTACCAATGTTTAGATTTCAGAACAATGTCTGTTTAATATCATCGTGATGTTTGAATATAAATAGCGAACTTATATTACATTTCTCATATATTTTATTTAATCATCTTCTTTTGCTTTTGTAATGCCATTTTTAATTGGAAACTACGTGTTGTGTCACACATTTAAGTACTTTGACAAATTATTTTAAAAATTAAATTGTGTTTGTGTAAACTGAAAATTTCGTTATAGTTAGGAAGAAGTAAGTGTTATTTTCAACCGACTTCCTCAAAAAGGAGGAGGTTCTCAATTCGGCTGTATTTTTTTTATGTTTGTTACCTCAGAACTCCGTCATTTATTAACCGATTTGGACAAATTTTGTTTTGTTTGAAAGTGTATACTTCCAGATTGGTCCCATTAAAATTTCAAAAAAAAAAATACCACCCCTAAGGGTGGAAAAACAGCTAATGATGAATTTAATCAACTCTAATTGTCATATTGACTTGAAACTTTGCAATTGTTTCTATTTCCGTTGATAGTACAGTCGGTGCCAGCCGATACAAAGCAAAGCACACCGACTTCGAAAATATTTGATTAGGTATGTATAGTAAATGAAAACTACCAATCAGTTATTTTTTACTTTTTAGTGCTTTTGTTTGAAGTCGGTTTTTTATTTTTTTGTTAAAAAGTTTTTATTAGTGTAGATGACATTAAAGTGTTTAATTTTTAAGGAATGTTTATGTATGGTTAAAGTCTATATAATGTCGTAGGGAAATTGTAAGAGCCGTAAAATTATAATTGCACTAGTTAAATTATAATTACCCGGAGATTTGTCGTTCGCCAAAATTATATTTTACCTGAAATTGTCCAGCGATATTGTAAGAAAAGGAGGCGAGTGACAAAGTTCCGGGTACTATATTAGTACCGCATTTGAAGGCTTCTAAGCTTTAGAGAGGTCATGCAGTTTTAAGCACGGCATTATATGGACGTAAAATTCGAAATTTAAAACGGTAAGGGCTAAAACATTTTGGTTAATATATGGTGATTGGTGTAAGTGGACATACAAACTGTAAGATTGTTGTGATTTTAAACTTTATTAGCAGGATATTAATTTTAAGGGCGCACCGAGGCAATTACGAAATAATTACGTTCGTTTGATCCCTTGCTATATTGTTATTACTAAAACTTTAATTATGTTATTAATATGTAGGATATTTAAGGATTTATTCTATAAATCGTACACTTTAGAAACACGATTTGTAGTTTCCTCGATAGGAAAAAAATCCAAAATGATCTCTAAAAAACAAAATAAACCCTTAGTGCGGCGTAAATAATTCAAGGAAGTTCGTCAGTTTTTTTAATAATAACAAAACTATACGTTTTCTATATCGTATACAATTTACATTTTCAAAATGTGTATTTGTTTTAATAATACGAAGGAAATACCTAAATTCGCACGCGTTCCGTCCATCTTAGACACAACCCAACCACCCCCCCCCCCTCCCCTCCTCCCTCTGCCCGCTTTCGTCCTACTAAAATAAAAAGCTCGGTGCCCTCTTATTGTAACGTCAGTGTTATGTATTTTATTTGTACTTTTAGAAAATTTGAATAAGAATTTTTGGTTTTAAAATAATTTGTGAAAAAATGACAAGTGACAGTTGTATTTATAACCTCAAAAATTTTATGAAATTAATTGATCAACAACAGAAAAAGCCAAAATTAAGGCGATTTGGTACTAATGTAATTAAATTTTATATTTCGCTATTAGATATA